TTGAATTATTTTTGGAATAAAAAATTACCTATATTAAAAATGATAGGAATTGATTGAGTAAACGATTCTGAACAAACTACTTTCTCATAGTGCGTTAATTATGTTACATGTTGTATATATTATATAGTCCCATCAAAAAAAATCTTGATATTTTACATCTTCATTCTGCAATAAAATATTATCGTGCACCCAGCGAAGCGAGCGGGTATCAGTTAATGTCCTACAGACAAATTTCACTCTCCATAGCTGCAATACACACGCACGCACGCACGTACACACGCATGTACACCTGCAGGCACACACACTGGATGACCTTTTTTACAGTCTGGAAAAAAATAGGGTGTAACATATGAACAGAGTGAAAGCCTATGGCACTGATATATTACATAAAATTTAAACAAATTTTGAATTAAATAAATTAGTTAAAATCTATTGAAATTCCAATCATATCCACACTACTTTACGAATGGCAATAAAACAATAAATTTAGTAGGCATTGACCTTGTTGCAGGGTTTTCAAATGTTTAATTCAATTTTTCAAATTTTCGTTTTTATTTTTTGTAAAATATCCATGCCATACACAAAAGGCTTTTACTCCATTTACATGTTACACCCTATTTTTTGCAGACTGTAAAAAAGTCATCCAGTTCATATTTATGAATATATATATTATTCTTAAATATATTTACTACATCATCATAAATGATGATGGAAAAACCATCCAAAAATGCTGAATATATTTGTACTAATTATATTATTGTACATATTGGCTCTGTACTGAACAAAAGCAACAAATTAACCATGATAATTATTTTCAGAAACAAAATCTGCAGGAATCTCTCCTGACACCACTTTAGCGTTACTGCAAACAGCCGCAGCCGAGTCAGAGGAACAATCAGAAAACATATCACATGACTTCCTTTCAGGGAAAATAGATGTTGATAAATTTCTTGAGGACTTTGAACCTATCCGCAAAAAAATGCACCTACAAAAGTTTAAAGCAGATAAAATGAGTGAACTTCTGAGAACTAGCAGCCAAGGCTCCTATGGTAATGGTCTTGCAAAGCCATATTTACCATATCCAAGTTATCCACAAAATATGCCAAGTGTACCATATCCAGTAGGACCATTAAATATGCCAATGCCTGGAATGTACGGTAACCACTTTTAAATGGCTATTATAGAACTTTTTTTAACCTTAGTTTTTTATTTTTATTAAAAATGACATTACAGAATGCACTTTACAACTTAAAAAAATATTACTACTTTTTTATCAAAAATGTTCATTTTTATACATCTTATTGTCATCAATTGTTTAAGTTATAAAAATGTATTTATTACACATACATAGTTCCATGTATTTTTTATAAATAATTATGAAATATATCTTATATTATGGTATAATGCTAATGATATTTAAATAGTATAGTTATATTAAGCGCATCTCAAAACTTAACACCAAGAACATCTGTGTAAAAAGCACATTATGTTATATTTTTCGTGTAGTTTATATTATGTATTTGAAACTATTTACATAACACTAACTTTCACTTCGGATTTTTTACAGTGTAAATGTACTATTTATTTAAAACTTAACCACAGCGCTACATACAAAGCCAAAATATTATTATATAATGGTGAACATAGCCATATTGATTTGGACTGGAATTTGGTAGCGCGCGACGTAACTATACAACCATTGAGTCATTATCATTTTATTATTGATTAAAACAACTTTTATACTTTTTAGTCTGAAAATACACACATATTTTCGTCAATTAAAATATTTAAAGTTACATATGAAAAAATAAAATAAACCTTACATAAAAAATCTCAATACACTTGTTTAATTTTTGCGATACATTAATTATGCGCAAAGTTGATTGATTTTTTGCCTTTTAATCTGCAGTTATTTGTTCTGAGTCGCAAATTTAAAAAAGTCATTGTTATTAAACACTCTACATATACAGTAGTGAAAAATCCTAAAGGCTAATAAAAAAAGGTTAGGCCTGATTAGAATGACGTAATAACATTCATATTAATTATACCTTTGTTATCAACGAATGTTTAGTTGGGACAATTGTATAAAACTAAGTGTAAGTTGTACAATTGTGTAGTTCAAGTATCACGCTTGCGTGATCGTACAACGGTGTCAAGTTCTGATAAAAATACCGTAGAAACGACGTATAATTGAGAAACTTTGGTGAAAACAAATTGTTGAATGCTAACTATACTAACTTGTTATAAAACAATACTATACCCAGAACCGGTTCATAATGTTTCGTAAATCTATATAAGCCATGGGCGCTGCCAGGAAGGTGCAAAGGGGTGCACTAACACCCTTCTGTTCTTAAAAGAAAAATACTGGCAAAGGAAACATTTTTTATTATTATTAATCACAATGTTATTAAAAGCTCGATGTATAATTCAAAATGTGCTTAACAAATTTGCGGTAAATAAAGTTTATCCTTTTTCTATGAACACAAGACATGCATATTAATAAACTATAAAGATTCTACAAGGTCCTCAGAAGCAACACTTTTCTTAGACTTAATATACTCAATATCCATCCAAACTATTTGACATTAATTTACTACTCTAACCACATCTTAGCGCGAATGGCTCCATTTAGCTATGGGCGTCCGTTATAACGGACGCCCATAGCTAAATAAATGGATGGATATATGGAATTATAATTCCATATATGTTCGTATGTATGCAAATACACCTCAGTGAAAATAATCTTGTAGGCGCTTATGATGTTTGTTACCGTTGTCACCATCAGTAGCGAGGTGTATACGGTCATACCATCCAATGCGCATGAGAACCACCCAAAATCTAATACAAAAAAAATCGTATAGTGTATATAATTTGGACTAGTCTATCTTCGAACAACTATAGAGGTGGAATAATTTGATTTAATTTTTTTCGTATGTCAATTCTTGTTATCATTATAAACGTAATTTAAGTATGTAATAGAGGAGAGTAACTAAATATGTGCTCCTTTTTTTGGGTGAAAAATAATATAACTATTGATAATCAACTTTTCATAATGTAATAATAATCCGACATATATTTTTGAAGAGCAAAGTAACGGTCTTATGTTTTTATTGGTAAACTATACTATCGAAATTGAGCATTAAACAACATTGTAAAACATGCACTAAATTTTGAACAGGTTGGGCTTTAAATATGAATTTAATTATCCTTTAGTCGCGCGGGGTCTGCAGTTACCCCAAATTGATAGGTATGAAATAAGAAACATTTTAATTAGTAATCAACTTTATAATTGATTTTATTCTACATATTTCTTATTAAACTTTAAGAAAAATACAAAAAAAAAATCTAGAAAGATATTTAGAACAATAGAAAAATATGTTTTTCGTAAGTACTATTACAATTCAACAATTATCACAAATTTTCTTTGTATGATTCGCCACAGATAAAATTGTTGCACTTATCGTGGACAGATGTAGCACCTTCCTCTTTTTGCTGGGTGCAATCCTGTGTTAGACGTTGAAGGAGTCGCAGCTTCAGGTTTTGACAATCGCTTTTTCAAAGCGCTAGACAGGACGGAACTATTGCTCGCGATAATCTATGTACTTTTACTAATTCTGTTGATAATAACTTTAGAAAAATTCGTCTCTTTATGGTAGCCTCATTGTTATTGAAGTTATAAATAACATTATATTATACACATTGAATAAATGAAAAAAGATAACCATAGGCCATCTCTTCGTTCGCCGAGCAACGTTATATGTGGAACACAGCTTGTCATTAGTGTCTACGCCACCCTTTGTTTTATTGTAGAATAAAATCATCTTCGGCTTCTTCAATTCTCCCTTGTCTATGATGTCATCATGATGCATAGACGACAATACTACAACAGCTTTAGATTTTTTGAGACATAGGAGCACAAAGTTAGGTTGTAATGAAAACCAAATAGCGTTGAGTGTACTTCACGACGTCTGTCAGGTAAAAATGCTTGTGGTATTTTTTTTCTTAACGTACCCACTATTGTCAATTTGTCTTTTAGAAGGTCTTTGAGCTAAATCAATACTAGTGAAATAATTATCCAAAGTAATATTTCGTCCTGTATTCTTGATTGTTTCGGTCAATCGTTTGACTTGTGTCATTAGGGATATTGTAGGGCCCGTCTGGCTGTTTCCCTACGTAAACTTCAAATTTCTGGAGATAGGCAGTCTTAGCATCAACCATTGCATAATGCTTTATTCCATACTTATTCGGCTTACTCGGCATATATACCAATCCTGAAAATCTTCCTCTAAACGCAGGCACCTGTTCATCCACAGTGACATATTCTGACACCGTGTAGTGCTTTCTAAAATTTTCATTTAGAATGTCACAAAATTGACGAATCGGGGCCAGTTTGTCTACATTTAGTCTAGATTGCCGAGAACTAGCGTCGTCAAAACGCAAACAACGTAGGATAAATAAAAAAAAGTTTTGCTGACATTGTGTCTGAAAAAAACTCTATCCCAGTCCCATCATTTGCCCACAAATATAGAAAATTTAAATGTGACGAACGTAGAACTCCGGACATTGCCAAAAATCCAAAAAAGCCAACATTTCTTCACAAATTACGTCTTTGGCATCACGTTCCCTTTGGAATTTATGACGAACTAAAGATATATACTCATTTGTATGTTTCATTGTCAATTCTATAATACTTTTATCAAAAAATAACAAACAACAATCTGTCTTACTTTTCGCATCTCTTGCTGCTCTCCTTTTGAGCCTGGCAAATGGGTAACGATATTATAAGATCTTTGTCTTACTCTTTGGCTGGGAATAGTTTTGTTCCATTTTGTGCTCTTATCTCTACCCAAAAAATACGTAGATAAATCGAATTGTGGTTGGGATGAGGTCGACATGTTTTGCAAAAAGTAGTGACTTTCTTTGTCTTACTCCTAGCTACTAAGCGTCGTAGGATGGCTACGTTCTGTTTATAACATTGTTGGCATTGACGTCGAACGACTTTAGATGATCCTTCTTTTTTTCGCCAGTTCATGTTTAGCTCTTATCGGTCTCGATGAAGGAGGTTCGGACGTTATGCCTTTTGTTAGGAAATCTATCTTAATTTCTTTTCTAAAATCTACAATAGGAATGTTCTTCTTTGTTACACTTTTGTAGAGAGTGAGTGCGTTTACAACAGCTACATTCAAGATTAAGTCCATGGCCACTTTTTTATACCACTTGACAGTTTTCCTAAGTGGTGTTTGGTACGCTGACATTTGATCAGACAAATCAACGGCACCTTTAGCTTTATTATAGTTGACAATAATTGCAGGTTTTAAGATAACTTTGTTGCGTTTTACCACTCTTACAAAACGCGTCGAGTGTTTTGTGGACAAAATTAACACATCTCGTTTATCCTTCCATCGCATCACTTATTCCATCAGCACTTTCTTTAGCTATAAATTGCCCCTTTTTCAACTTTGTAGAAACTACTGTTTTAGGAAAATGTTTCCTGTTTTTCCTCAATGTTCCAACAAGATGTGTCTCTCTATTTAATAGCTTTCTTGCCTATTCGATATTTGTGTACCAATTGTCTGTGAACAGAGTGTGTCCTTTATCGAGCAAGTCATTACATAGTTCCATAACTACATTTGTAGGTGTAGTGTTAATTTCGTCATTCTGTTTACCAGCATAAATATTAATTTGTACATAATTTAAATATTTTTACTCCATATTTATGACGCTTTTGTTTATACTGACGAAAGATTATGCGTCCTCGAAAAGGCGCAACACTCTCGTCGATGCATAAATCCTCACCAGGGATATAGTTTTCCTTAAAATTGTAATTTATTACATTCAATAAATTTCTTACTCGGTGTAATCGATCAGCTTTGTTCTCCTCATCTCGTTCTGAAAAATATAGCATTTGAAGCAATATCTCAAACCGATTACGGGACATAACGGTTCTTGGGAAATTTTGTCCCATAATTTCATCTTTGGACCAGTAGTCTTGATATTTTAGGTAATTTCACCAAGCCCATAAACAAAACCAAACCAAAGAATTTTTTTATTTCGACAAGGTTAGTAGGCGCCCAGTTCCGAATGCGTGCACATTTTGTAGCTTCTTGTGAGTTAACTATTTTAGCAATTGCAAAGTGATTAGTGTTTTTCACTCTTTCATTAAAAACATCATCCGTTACCAAAAGAGCATAAAATTCTGCTGGGGATTTGTTAATCATGAGCCTGCACATGTGCAACGGCGCACCAGGAATTTCGGTAAAAGCTATCAATTGGCGTTGATTACCTTTGGGATCGGTCCATGTTGAGGGTGACGAACTCTCCGCTAAATCTTGAATGGCACGATTAATTTCAGTTTCACTTGACTCACTATCTGATAAGATGATTCGACGTCGTCTTGGTCGCAAAAGTTGAATGTTGTCTTCATCAGAGCTTTTTTGAAAGCTTTGGTTAAGGAGAGTAATTTCTATATTATCTATTCGAGACAGGTCTTCTCGGCTAATCTCAAAGTCATCGAAATCCATCGTTACGACGTAAAGTTACAAACACGATCCACGTTATAATATAACTGTAAACACGTGATTACTGCGCTACGAAGTAACAGCGATAAACCGCTTCATCATCATCATCATCATTACAGCCCTTCACAAGTCCACTGCTGAACATAGGCCTCCCCCAAGTAATGCCACAAAGCACGGTCCTGAGCCACCTGCATCCATCGACTTCCTGCATGTCTTACCAGGTCGTCACTCCATCTAGTGGGGGGTCGCCCTACACTACGCCTACCGGTACGAGGCTGCCACTCGAGAACCTTTCTTCCCCATCGGTTATCGGTTCTTCGAGCTATACGGCCGGCCCATTGCCACTTCAGCTTACTAATCCGTTGGGCTATGTCGGTCACTCTGGTTTTACTGCGGATATCCTCATTTCTGAGTCTATCACGCAGAGAAACTCCGAGCATAGCCCTCTCCATAGCTCGCTGAGCGACCTTAAGCGTCCTCATACGGCCAGCAGTGAAGGACCACGTCTCAGATCCGTAAGTCATCACTGGCAACACGCACTGGTTGTACAATCTAGTTTTTAGAGATTGAGGTATACCTGACGAAAAGATATGCCGTAATTTCCCGAACGCTGCCCAGCCGAGTTGAATCCGTCGATTGGCCTCTCGGTCGAAGTTGGACTTACCTAGTCGGACTATTTGTCCCAGGTAAACGTATTCGTCAACAACTTCGAGCATAGTGCTCCCAACAACTACCGGCATAGGTGTGACATGGACATTGAACATTATCTTTGTTTTGTCCATGTTCATCTTAAGACCTATCCGTTGGGAGGCACTATTGAGGTCATTGAGCATAGTGCTTAAGTCCTCCAGCGATTCTGCCATAAGGACTATATCGTCGGCAAATCGAAGGTGAGTGATGTACTCGCCATTGATGTCAATACCGTATCCTTTCCAGTCCAGTAGCTTGAAAACGTCTTCCAATGCAGCGGTGAAGAGTTTCGGGGATATAACGTCACCCTGTCTTACACCTCTCTGCAGATGGATAGGTTTCGAGCTCTGGTTCTGTACTCGGATAGCCATCGTAGCCCTACTGTACAAACACTTCAGCACTTCGATATACCGACAGTCAACTTGGCACCGCTGAAGGGACTGTAGCACCGCCCAAATTTCGACGGAATCAAAGGCTTTCTCATAGTCCACATACGCCAGGCAAAGTGGCAGATTGTACTCTTCAGTCTTCTGTACAATCTGCCGCAGGGTATGTATGTGGTCTATGGTACTGAAGCCTTTTCGGAAACCGGCTTGTTCGGGAGGCTGGAAGTCGTCAAGTCTGCGTGCGAGACGATTCGTAATGACTCTCGAAAACAGCACGTAGACGCGGCTCAGAAGGGAAATCGGTCTGTAGTTCTTTAAGAGAGCGTTGTCGCCTTTCTTAAAGAACAAGACCACCGCACTTCTGCTCCACGCCTCTGGAGTAGTGCCACCATGGAGGACGGAATTGAAGAGCTTCTGAAGGACTTCAAGTACCGGTGTTCCACCCGCTTTCAGAAGCTCCGCTGTAATTCCATCCTCGCCTGGGGCCCTGCCGTTTTTAAGGTGCTGGAGAGCCATTCTAATCTCGCTTAGACTGACGTCCGGGATATCATCGGAATAGTGTCGGATAAGACTTGCTCTTGGATCGTTACTCACACTTGCGTGTGGCTCCAACGATGATGTGTACAGCTGCCCATAGAACCTCTCAATCTCACTCAAAATCTCAGGTGTCCCGGAAACGATGTTGCCACACTCAGTCTTCAGCCTTGACAGTTGGCTCTTTCTGGCAGACAGATCTCTGGCAAAGACTTTGGAGCCCTGGTTCCGCTCGATCGCTTCTTTAATACGAGAAGTATTAAAGTTGCGTAAGTCTCGCCGCCGCAATAAACCGCTTGCCGGGTCGCAAATACGCGCCATGTGCATGAGCGGCGCGGTCGCGTGCGGGTGGGCGTCGTCGTGCCCGCGTGGCACCCTGCAACCGATTCCCGGTATTCCTTGCGCAGAGGACGTGTAGGTCAATGGTGGGTGACGCTTATTAACACTTAAAATAGGTATAAAATGTTGCTTGTGAGAATAAAATTATGTTTTATGACGTCAAATATATCCCTTAAACCAATAAAACACACTAATGAAATTTGGAAAAAATATTAATTTTTGTCTGGCTCCAGATGAAAATAGGGTGTCAACCACTATTGTCCGACGCGGCGTGGAACGTGTTAAAAATGTAGCAACAATTATTCTTATAACTATGAAATCAATTTTAAACTAATATAAGAAAGGCACATTAAAATTGTACATTTAAATTCGAATTATAAATAATCAACAATGCAGCATAATTTAAACTAAGTTACATCTTGAAACTTATAAAATTATGTTTTGTATATCTACTCAACAGTTTCAGTATTCTTATCAAAGTCTAATTAGTAAATATTATCATCAGTTAAAGCTTTTAAAATGTCAGCATCACTTTTGCAATAACTATGTGGCCGTGGAAGGAAAAGGGGAGATCTCCCACCGAGCAAGGTGTTCTGCCCGGGGGAGCGGCCAACGCTACGTGTGATAGTTCGAAGCTGTCCTATATATACTGTTTATGATTCGGAACTTTGATAGCGCGATTTAGGTTTCGGTGTGTTTCACGTGTGGCGCGACTACAGCGCCGCCACATCATCCCCCTGCTCAGACCGGAGGTCGACAGTGCAGTCCGATTGCCGGTGCGTTCTTAATGCCGGTGGGGAATGCATGCTGTGTGCGTAAGGGCAAGTGACACCGGTGCGAATGATATGCCGATGTGTAATGCATGCCGTACTACGCACTGGCAAGTGATGCTGGTGAGAACGATGTGCCGGAGCAAGTGCCGGCAGTCTGCCTTATAAATCTGCAGTGAGTCGCGATGAAGACAAGTTGGACTGATTTGCAGGAACTGAAGACTGCAGAAGACGATTCTCAGTAGTGAATGGTAGAGGTTCTTGAGGATAATGACGAAGGCTTGAAGTTGTAGTTTCCGAAGGTTGTTGGTTGCGTGTTTAGATCACGTCGGGTGGTCACCACTGTGGCCGTGGAAGGAAAAGGGGAGATCTCCCGCCGGGCAAGGTGTTCTGCCCGGGAGCGGCCAACGCTCCGTGTGATAGTTCGGAGTCGTCCTATATATACTGTTTATGATTCAGAACTTTGATAGCGCGATTTAGGCTTCGGTGTGTTTCACGTATGGCGCGACTACAGCGCCGCCACAACTACCTCGTCGTATAGTTACTTGTTTTGTATTATTGGTTTTCTGAATATTTTCCTTTTTTACGCTAACCAGAGTATCTAAGGGTATTTTTTTGGTATTTGTCTAGACTCATTGCGCGTTTATCATTATCGGCTTTTTGTATGGAAATAATCTTATTTTAATTATCTTTGACACTTTTGTAATGAGTTTTCTCTTATATCTAAAGCCTTGCTGTTATCATATGAACACATCTTACCCGTTAAAGAATCTACTAATTCATTAAATAAGTTTTCTGGTTCTATATCAGGAACGTAATATGCTCTTGTTAGATCTTGATCAATGTAGTTGTTAATCAGTAGTTCTTCATCTTTTTGTTGAGAACTATTACCCCAATAATGTAAAAGCCTATTACCATGAGAAAATTGTTCTACACGACCGCTTTCGTTATTAAATTTTGCATCTCCACCATTGACATCAGTTTCTGGACAGCTGACAGCTCATTCAGCCACATATACGACAATTTGTATCATTTTCTTATCGTTTTCAATGTATTTTTGTGTATTTGCTTTCGACGTATTGGGTTTAGTTTTCATGTCTTTCTTCAACAAATAATTTTTTATTGCGTTTATCATCTCCATTTTCTTGCATTTGGATACTTTGTCAGACATTTTCTTCTTCCTTATTATTTCATTTTCGGGGTGTCTGTGTTTTCGATTTTTTACTATCAGGTTCATTACTTTTGCGAATCAAATTGACTGCTTTTCCAGGAATAACTTCAATTTTTCACCAGTCAAAGGGTACCTTAAATATAACTAATCACCCTTTTGATGTATCTATTGACCATATTCGCGTATCCATTAACCCTTCAGGTGTGTCAATTCACCCCATTTGTATATCTAATCACCCCAAAAAGTTGAAGAAAATAAGGCTTACGAAAAAACATCCAATTTACATAGTTATTCATATTCTTACATTAATGTCTGCCACAGGCAATAATTAAAAGCCATACTTAACCCAAAAACATCAATCCGCAATTATATAATGGATGATAAAACTTACAACCTCCTGTTCACTTGTTTTACCGTTAACTTTTACGTTTATTTTTTTGGTGGTTAACATTTACCGTTAATTTTAACGTTTATTTTATTTTTTTGGTTTTTAACAACGCTGCCATACGTAAAAGTTTGCCAGACGAATAAACGCAATACTACCATTTCAGTATAATAGCGGATTTTTTGTAGGGCCAGCTGGGCTTGCCTCATAAAATATTTGAAATAATACCCAGTATTTTTTCCTATTCCCCCCGTCAGTTCGATTCACCCATGTTTACGGTAACATACATTATGATTTCTTATATTTACGCGAATTAATTTATCGCGTTTATTTTTGATTTTAATTACTTTTATTTTTAATTCCCGACGTTTCGGGCGCTTTCCAGCACCCATGGTCCACGGGGGACTGAGATGACTGACGTCCCGATGTCATTGTTAAACCCGGAGTATCTTCAGCATTTTTAATTATAGTTTATGGTCCGATCTATGCAAAATGAACTGACTATGTCTTGAGGTCTTGCAGTGGTATGCTTGGGTTTAGTTTTAATTTTATTGATTATAGGATCCCAAGCAGGTGGTAGTACCCAGCCTCCTTCTCTATTGAAATTAAAAAACATCCAAATTTGGGTTTAGTTTTAATTTTATTGATTATAGGATCCCAAGCAGGTGGTAGTACCCAGCCTCCTTCTCTATTGAAATTAAAAAACATCCTAATTTCAATAGAGAAGG